ACTTCACATGCACTCTGTCCCAGACATTGGAGACATGAGGAGGTATATATATAAAACAAAGTCCATGACCTCACGCAGCCTTATGAAATATTACTCCCATTTTACAGATGAGGAAACTGAGGCTCAGAGAGATTCACTAGTTAACCAAAGACACGCAGCTAGTAAACAATTCAAATGGAATATAAATTACTAGCTATCATGGAGCTAACACAGTGTTTTGGATCAGTGTGATGCTTCTCTAAATGTGAAAGACGCTGGGCGCGGTGGCTCATGCCTGTAATTTCAGCACTTTGGGAGGCTGGGGCTGGTGGATCACCTGAGGTCAGGAGCTCAAGGCCAACCTGGCCAACATGGTGAAACCCTGTCTCTACTAAAAATACAAAATTAATCAGGTGTGGTGGCACATGCCTGTAGTCTCAGCTACTCAGGAGGCTGAGACAGGAGGATCGCTTGAACCCAGGAGGCAGAGGCTACAGTGAGCCAAGATTGTGCCACTGCACTCCAGCCTGGGCACAACAGAGTGAGACTTCATCTCAAAAAATAAATAAATAAAAATAAAATAAATAAGTAAGTGTGAAAGACACAACTTACCACAGCCAGGGAGAGGCAAATGCTAAGAACAATGCAGGCTTCTAATGCCTTGAGATTTCTTCACTTTTATGTTTTTCACTATCCTCTTTTATTTACTGTTAACAATTTACAGGAAAAATGCTTGAAATAAAAACACTTGAGTTGCTATGACCTCAGGGGGCAGCAAGGAATGGGAGAAGGAAGCAAGGAAAATATAGGCACCTGCTTCCATCACCCCTGATATCTTGGCCCAAAACAGAGAGCAAAATTTGCTGTGCTACTGGGCAGAAATTTTTAAGTAAATCAAGCCAGCATTTTCTGTTTTGGTCTAAAACGTTTAAAGAAAAGGGAAGTTTTACACTATTAATTATAAATCCTTAAAAGCGTAGTTGATTTAGATGAGGGTTTCTCCACAGCAGCACCCTTAACATTTTGGGCCAAATACTTCCTTGTGGGAAGCTGTCCTATTCATCAGAGGATGTTTGGCAGCATCCCTGGTCTGTACTCTCTACCTCCTCACGTTGCAACAAACAAACATTTCCAGGCATTGTCGAATGTACCCTGGGGGCTAATAGCACCTCTTGCTGAGAATCACTGATTTAGAAAAGACTTGACAATCCTTAAAACCTGTTGGAAGATTTCTCCAAAGTACAAACTCCTAAAGAAATTCCTTCTCTTCTGTAAAATGGATATTGTGTTACTTTAATGGCAGAGCCTTGCACCACACAACTATATTTGTGGCCCTCTCTCTGGTTCCCACCCATAAACTCTTAAAGCAGGATAAATGGTAACACAATAATCCCAGTTGTTTATAAATCTTTTTATTCGTATCTTTCATACCGAATCATTACCTGTCAAGAGCCTCCTTGTTAATTTAAATAATAAATGAAGTTCCTAAGCCCCCTTGTGGCGAAAAGCAGTAACAAGAATTAGATTAGAAGAGGGAAATATATTGAAGCACAACTGTTAATATATGAAATTTTTTCCCCCAGATATAAAATGTCTGGTTTTCCATCAAAAGGGAAGAGGGATGAAATCTGCAGAACAATTGTTCCACTAAGAGACATTTATGAAATTAGATTTTTAAAATTCTTAAATTAGTTGGTGTATTAGTGTGTTTTCACGCTGCTGGTAAAAACATACCCAAGACTGGCAATTTACAAAAGAAAGCCATTTATTAGACTTACAGGTCCTCATGGCTGGGGAGGCCTCACAATCACAGTGGAAGGCAAGGAGGAGCAAGTCACGTCTTACACAGATGGCATCAGGCAAAGAGAGAGCTTGTGCAGAGAAACTCCTGCCTTCAAAACCATCAGATTGCCGGGCACGGTGGCTCATGCCTGTAATCCCAACACTTTGGGAGGCCGACACAGACAGATCACGAGGTCAGGAGTTCCAGACCAGCCTAGCCAACATAGTGAAACCCCATTTTTACTAAAAAACAGAAACAAAAACAAACAAACAAAAAAACAAAAATCCATACCTGTAATCCCGGCTACTCGGGAGGCTGAGATCGGAGAATTTACTTGAGCCCAGGAGATGGAGGTTGCAGTGAGCCAAGATGGCACTATTGCACTCTGGCCAGGGCAACAAAAGCAAGACTGCATATCAAAAAAAGAAAAAAAAAAATCAGATCTCATGAGACCCACTCTCTATCACAAAAACAGCATGAGAAGGACTCACTTCCATGATTCAGTCATCTCCTACCAGCTCCCTCCCACAACACGTGGGGATTATAGGAGCTACAAGATGAGATTTGGGCAGGGACACAGACCCAAACCTTATCGATTGGTAACTGCACAGTTTAAAAGGGGAGCATCACACACTGAGGTCTGTGGTGGCGGGGGGGACTAGGGGAAGGTCATGGGGGGAGAGATGGGGAGGGGTAACATGGGGAGAAATGCCAGATATAGGTGATGGGGGAGGAAGGCAGCAAACCACATTGCCGTGTACGTACCTATGCAACAATCCTGCATGTTCTTCACATGTACCCCAAAACCTAAAATGCAATAAAATATATATTAAAAATAATAATAATAAAAAATAAAATCAGTAGATTACAGGGAGAACAAGAGTGCTCTAAGAAAAAAAGGGAAAAAAAGAATGTTAGAAAAAAAGCTTTGTGTGATTTTTAAAAATGAAGAAAAACCTGAGTCCTTATTTTTACTGTACTTTGTGAGGACTATACAAGTCACCTAATTTGTCTGTGTCTTAGAGTCCTGATATAAATGCAAAATACAATGCATAAAGAAAATTGTAGAGCTAAGACACTTTAGACATCATGTAATCCAAGTCTTCCTTAAAAGGAAACTGAGTCCCATAAAGGTTTAGTAAAACCATAGTAAGAGTCATGCATATTCTCTAAGTTCCCCTCCAACTTAATCTATGATCTATATCAAATTTTTACTATAAAAATTAAATCGTGGCAAACCAATGTATAAAGAAAAATGAATATATGTGGTCATCTATACTTCAAAAAGCAAAAAGGGAAACAGGTTGATGTTGGTTGACAAGTGCCCACCAGCGGGTCAGGTAAAATCTCAGTTCACGGTACCCTGGGTAGGTACCCTGGGATGGGAATCAACATCTTAAGGATCAACACCTGAGGGAAAAGGATTTGGGCAGAGAAGGAGAAGCCCTCAGCTAACCCTGCAGGAGGCTCTGAAGCTAGGACTGTCCAGTTTCAGGTGGTTCTTTTCTGAGACAAGGGGTTACTCATGTGAATCAGTTATTGGGTGCAGACTACCCTAGGGAAGAGCTGTGATCTTAAGCAAAACAAGAGCATTTTCCAGAGAGAATTGAGAGCTTAGAGCTTTAGCTGGCAGAACTCCTGACCACCAGGGAAAATGGAAGAAGTAAGTCCTTTGATCCGAATGGGCATCTGGGCAGCATGTCTCAGCATCCATTGCAGTAGACAAGCCTGATTAGTGTACCATAGTCTCTTGCTCTCAACATATTACACCCTGAGCCTGATGGCAGAACAGAAGTAGAGAGGAGCCAAGAAATAGTAACGACTCTGTGTGCCTCAAGAGCCAGAGCTCTGCTTTATTTATTTTATACTCCTACAGTGTTCGATAAATGGAGAAATCAGGAGAGTCAGGCTGGAATTCAAATCCTGACTTCACCCTTTGGGCAAATTAATTGACTTCAAATGTCAGTTTCCTCTGGAGCATATTTTCTAGGCATATCTTCCCTCATACCTAGTTCCACCTAAACCTCTGGTCACAATGGTGATGTTTAATTAAAAAGAGACTGTGGTCCTCAGGCTTGTCCACTGTGGTGGATGCTGTTATATACTGTGCAAATCCTCCCTTCAGATCAAAGGATTATTTTCAATGCAAAATGTCAATTTCACACATGGTCGATCCATATATATGTCTTACCAACTTAGCTGTTAGTTTCTTGAAGGAAGACCTCATGTTTTCACTGTCTTATATTTGATCATATGTTTTATTGGTGTAATACTTTACTGTATACAAATCCTGCAACACCAGTGATCCCAATTGGATTATTCTGTGATATAGGGTCTTTATAATCTTTGCAGATGAAAACACTGAAGCTCATAGAGAATAAGGGACTTGCTCAGGGTCACACAATCATGTGATAGAATTCAGGCATCTGAGCCTGTATTCCCAGAAAACAAGTTGAATATTTGTTACTCAAGAGGATACAGCCTTTATGTTTATTAATGCTTCGTGGTTCATAAAATGATAACAAAAAAATTATCCCATTTGATTCAAACAGTGATCTGCTAAGATTTTTGGAGCTGGTGCTATTATACACATTTGATGAATGGAGACTGTAGCTCATGTATTTATTCACACATTCATCAAAGAAATGTACTACTTCGTCTCATATGCAAGCTACCATGCTGAGTTTAAGAGAGCCAAGTATGAATGTATCCTAAACCCTTCAATCAAGAAATTCACAATCTAGTGCAGGAGATGGACACCTTATTGACTATTACAGTATGACAAATGCTAAGTAAATGCTAATACAGCATGACAAATGATAAAGCTGAAGTATATACACAAAGCTATGTAAATTAAAAGAAAAAATATTCCATTTCCTGGGAGTATTGGGAAAGTCTGCAAGAAAGGGTGATGCTTGCTCTGTGCTTTTCATGGCTGTCCTCAGGTAGAAAACAATGTAAAATTCCTCAGAGACAGGATGGAAGACACACTACTATAATAGTGCATAGTTTTCCCAAAAAAAAAAAAAAAGGCTCAAGCACTGAATAACTTGTCAAGGTTTCTTGGCTGGTAAGTAGTCAAGCTGGCGTTGAAACCAGACGTTTCCTTCCCAACCAATGCTCTCTTCTCCCAGTGTGTTATACAAAGGTGGTAGCACTTAATAAGTGGAATACACTATGATGCAGTACTTTCTTCAAGCTCTCCTAGCGCAGATTTTTTTCCTTTTCTCTTTTCCAGTGTTCCAAGATGTACATGTTATGATATTTGTTGGGTTTGGCTTTCTCATGACCTTCCTGAAGAAATATGGCTTCAGCAGTGTGGGTTTCAACCTACTCATCGCTGCTTTGGGCCTCCAGTGGGGCACTATTGCACAGGGGATCCTGCATAGCCATGGACAAAAAATTAACATTGGAATCAAAAAGTGAGCATCCTTACTATGGTCTGAATGTTTGTGTCCTCCAGGACTCATATATTACAATCTTAACCTCCAATGTGATGATATTAAGAGGTGGAGGCTTTGGGAGGTGACCAAGTCATGAAGGCAGAGTGCTTGTGAATGGGATCAGTGTCCTTGTGAAAGAGGTCCATAAGAGACTCCTCACTCCTTCCACTACGTGAGGACACAGCTAGAAGGTGCCATCTACTAAGCAGAAAGAGAGCCCTCCTCAGACACCAAGTCTGTCAGCATCTGATCTTGGGCTTCCCAGCCTCTAAAACTGTAAGAAATAAATTTCTGTTATTTACAAATAACCCAGTTTATGGTATTTTGTTATAGCAGTCCAAACAGATTAAGGCAATTCTTCATTCTCCAGATTAATTGTTTCTCTGATAGTCCACTGTCATTTACTGTACTGGCTGGCAAACTGTCTCCCTTACGCAACCAAAAATGGTTGAAATTCAAAAATCTGAAGCAATGCCTTGCTCTACTGAGCTGGATAATACATTCATGTCTGTAACCTCTCTGGTTTCACTTTAAGGATATGAGAAAGCATCTTTCAAAGAAGTAGTATTCCTTCCACCTCAGCTACAGGGAGCCAATATTCCCCATTAGTTATTTTTCAGATTGTTTTTAAAATGTAAACATGTATTCTTATCGTGCAATAGTAAACACACTCTCCAGGAAATAATTCATTTATTAGATCAACAAACATAAATTAAAACCCCTAAGCTAAGGAGATAAAAGGTAAGTTAAAATACATACATTAGAGCAACTAAAGAGGGTCTGGTCAAAGGAAAAGAGGTGGACTAAGGAAGTGGGAGGTGATGAGTGGGCCTGGGAGAAGCACTGGATGGGCCTGATGGGAGATGGGATTGCACTCTGGTCAGTTTTAGGTTGAGTGTGCATTACTCTTCAATCTATTCTTTTTCCCCTCAGCATGATAAATGCAGACTTCAGTACAGCCACAGTTCTGATATCTTTTGGAGCTGTCCTGGGAAAAACAAGCCCCATCCAAATGCTGATCATGACAATTGTAGAAATTGCTTTCTTTGCTGGCAATGAATATCTGGTTGGTGAAATATTTGAGGTAAGAGTTAGAAAATTTATACTTACCTAGCTTTGGGCATCAGTTCTGGTTACAAAAAAATAATGCGTGTCCACGGTATGTGGGAGCAAATCTCGGTAGGAGGGATGCCCTAGCAAGTAGTAATAATAGCCATGTACTGAGTGCCTATTGTATACCAGGAGTTTTGTAAACATTATCTTATCTCATCTTTACAACAACACTGTATTGTAGGTATTATTTTTATTATCATATATACACCATAAAAACTGATTATCACAGATGCTGAATGACTTGCCAGAGTCTGAATTCACCTCCAGATTTTTCCAATCCCTCAACTCTTCTCTTGCCAATCAATAATCAATTCCTTTTACTATTTTGACTACTAGGTGAATAGCCCTATATAAAGCCTTGTACAGGTTTTTGTAAGGCCTCAGTCAAACTTTTTACTCCACAAATATTTCACCGATTCTTCCCACAAATAATAAATAAAAAACATTGTAGGGCACTCTTTAGTACTTTGTTATTTTGTTTATATTTCAATTAACATTAATTCAACAGCAAATATTTTTGACAACTTTCTAGGTGCTGGGGACTCAATGACAAAATATGAAGGTTCCTGTTTTTACAGAGCTTACAATCTAGTGGGACAGACAGAAACCAACCAAACAAATAATTACACATTCATCCACCTACCCAAAGACACAGACACACAACTGTTATTATAAACTGCAGTACATGCTATGAAAAATATGTAGGGTGGGGCTATGAGAAAGTGTAACTGGAAGATTAGATTGTAGAATCAAGGAGGGGTTCTTTGAGGAAGTAACAGTTACTGGACCTAAAAGATACCTAGAAGTTTTCGATTAACTAATGAGGAGAAATGTTCTTTAAGCTAAGGTAATAACAAGCACAGTCTTGAACTGGTAATGAGGAACTAAAAGAAAATTTTTATAATAATATGAAAGGACTTGACCAATACAAAATGAAGCCAACAAGGTAAGTGGGTCAGATTAATAAAGACTCTGTAAATTCTGTGTGCTAGCTAGGTGAAGACTTACCTGATGGTTCCAAAGGGAAGAAACAGGGAAGGTCATTTTACCTACAAATATGTGAGCATTTAAAGAGAGGCACAGACTCACATGGTATTTGTAAAGTCCAAGCACGATTAATCGCCACCTCCCATCCTCCTGAAACCACCTGGTGAAGCAAAGCAAGGTTTCCAAGCTGGGAGGGCACTAAGAGATGCTAGACAGCTAAAGATTGCTAGATAGATCATCACATATGCTTGAAAGATACTTGATTCATTCCAACTAAGTGTGGATCTTCAAGGGGACTGGGTCTGTCTATGTCTAGTAAACAAAAGAACAAAGCCAGGAGACCCTTTTTACTTAAATTTGAAAATGTTTTATAAATAGATGAGTATCATCTTCCTGTCTATAAGTACAGATAAATGTCTAGAATTGGACCCTCTGAACATTCCCTCTAGAGGCAGGAAATGTAGAAAACTGGGTCAAATCCACATCATATCCTAAAGAGGAATCTAAAGTATATCTCTCCAAATCAATCTGGGACCTCAGCTTGTTTTCAGTTCATCATAGAGCAAAATAAATATATATATGGGTAAAAACTCTGGTTTTTTGAAGTTTCAAGTCTTGAGTTACAATTAAGTGAGATTCAGCTGCCATTTCAAGTAAACATGTCATCTTCGTTTCATATCACAAACAGTTTTTTTTTTTTTTTTTTTTTTTTTTTTTTTTTTTTTTTTTTTTTTTTTTTTTGAGATTAGTTCTTGCTTTGTTACCTAGGCTGGAGTGCAATGTAACAATCATAGCTCACTGTAACCTCAAACTCCTGGGCTCAAGCCTTTCTCCTGCCTCAGCCTTCCCAGTAGCTGGGACTACAAGGAGTGCACCACCATGCCAGGCTGTGCAATATGTATTTCACTGAGAATCTCCATCACCTAGAGAAGGAACCCTGCAAAGCTTATGTGCCCACCAGGGAACTAGCACTTTAGAAATATGGTTTCATCTAAGTCCCATCACAAACTCTGTTGAATGGGCAATATTTTCCCATTTTAGATTTAGATCCCCATTTAGATCAGAGAAGCTTAATAATTTATTGAAAGTCACATCTCAAGGAAGTAACTGATCTAGGCTGGAAAGTCAGTTCTGTGTGGCTCCAAAGTCTATGCTATCTCTATTTTACCACCCTGTTTTACCCTGCTTTCGCTGACACCATCTTTCTGTTTCTCCCTTTTTAAAAATTGTTTAACCAGCAATGCAATTCTTTCTTTGAATGTCCTCCCATACTGAGTCTCAGGTTAACCTCTATTTATATTAATGTTATTTTGTCCCTTCAGGCCTCTGATATTGGAGCATCAATGACAATCCATGCCTTTGGAGCCTACTTTGGCTTGGCTGTAGCAGGCATCTTGTATCGATCTGGGCTGAGAAGGGGGCATGAAAATGAAGAGTCCGTGTACCACTCAGACTTGTTTGCAATGATTGGTGAGTGTGGATAAACTTGCTTGAACCTTCACTATTTGAAAAGGGACCGGGGAAGGTAAACTTCAACACAGGTGTGAGAAGATGCTCAAAAAGAACATCCAAGCCAGGCATGCTAGCAAATGACTGTAGTCCCAGCTACTCAGGAGGCTGAGGCGGGATTGCTTGAGCCCAAGAGTTCGAGTCCAGCCTGTGCAACATAGTGAGACTCCATCTCTAAATAGTAATAATAATGATGATGATTAAATTAAACCTTGAAAAAAGGAGCATCTTTTGCATACTACTTTATGCTGGCTCAATTCTCCTCTTTTCTCTTAACTGTAGATAATCAAGCCTAAACAGAGACATTGTCGGTGCCCAAACAAACTGCACTGTCTGGACTGACTTCCATATTCAGAACTAATATCCCTTCTTTTGGTTCACTACAGGGACTCTCTTTCTATGGATGTTTTGGCCCAGCTTTAACTCGGCCATTGCTGAACCTGGAGACAAACAGTACAGGGCCATTGTAAACACGTACTTCTCTCTTGCTGCCTGTGTTCTCACAGCCTATGCCTTCTCCAGTCTAGTGGAGCCCCGAGGCAAGCTTGACATGGTAAGTGCTGTCTTAGCCCTCATGGAAATTTCCCTTCACAACACTGACAGTTACTCATGTAAGTAGGAGGTAGCTTCTGCATCACTGCTGAGCTCCCAAGACAAATCACAAAACTTCAGATCTTGCAGAATGTTTTAAAAATAGCAACATTCATTCATTTATTAATCAAATCTATACCCTGGGCTGGGAATGGTGGCTCATGTCTGTAATCCCAGCACTTAGGGATGTTGAGGCAGGCAGATTACCTGAGCTCAGGAGGTCGAGACCAGGCTGGCCAACATGGCAAAACCCCATCTCTAATAAAAATACAAAAAAAAAAAAAAAATTAGCCAGGCATGGTGGCAGGTACCTGTAATCCCAGCTACTCAGGAAGCTAAGGCAGGAGAATCTCTTGAACCTGGGAGGCAGAGGTTGCAGTAAGCCAAGATCGTACCATTGCACCCAAGCCTGGGCAACAAGAGTGAAACTCTGTCTCAAAAAAAAAAAAAAAAAAAAAAATTGTACCCTGGAAAATTTAAAAAGTGTTCTCAAGGAATTTACAGTCTAGTATAGAATAAATGTAGTCTTGTATAAATCAAATATTTGAGGTATATTTCTTTAATAATAGAGTTAACTGCTTTAACTGCCCCCAAGTTCTGAGAAAAGCTTCCTTAGAAACAAGACTTAACAAACAGCCGAAAGTGGGATGATGCACACTAATTCTATTTTCCCAACTGCAAACATTCCTCTCAAAGAAATAACAACTAAATGCAATGTGAGATCTTCAACAGGATATTGGGGAAAATAATTAGTGGAAATAGTGGTGAAATTCACATAAGATCTTTAATAATATTAGATCAATGCTATTTTCCTTTCCATGGTTATATAAGATTAACATCTTATTTGAGAAACTGGACAAGGGATACATGGAAACATTCTGTAGTATTTTTACAACTTATATGTGTCTGCAATTAGTTCAAAATAAAATATGTTTTGAATTCCCCCAAATTAGCCTCTTGAGTTTCTTGCCTATGAGCTAGAGAAACATCAGTAAAGGAGTAATCCCCAGATCAGCCAGTCTACCTTTCTAACTGGATGGGGTGAGTGGGTGGGGAGTAAGATGTTATTGTAATTAATTTTTTTAGCATAGCTGAGGATGTGTATCTTAATTCTCCAAAAATCGTCTCATGATAGGTCACTAAAAACAGTGAAAAAATTGTACAGTTCAGTGTTTCTCTTTTAAAAGTACTGATGACCTCTGCTTCTCAGACAGAACAGCTAGACTAATTTTTCTGAAAAATTCTGGCAAATAAAAATTGATTCCTGACTGAATGTGGTGGCTCACGCCTATAATCCCAGACCTTTAGGAGGCTGAGGGGGGTGGATCACCTGAGGTCAGGAATTCAAGACCAGCCTGGCCAACACGGTGAAACTCCATCTCTACTAAAAATACAAAAATTAGCTGAACATGGTGGCGTGCACCTGTAATCCCAGCTACTGGGAGGCTGAGGCAGGAGAATCCTCCAACCCCGGAGGTGGTGGTTGCAGTGAGCCAAGACCGCACCACTGTACTCCACCTGGGGAGACAGAGCAAGATTCTGTCTCAAAAATAAATAAATTCCTCTTTCCTCCATCCTCAAATGTCCTCAATCCAATGACATTTTCAGAAACTGTTGTCTTTCGTATGTAATGTGTACATTTCAATGTCTACATTTCCTCTTTGGATATTGGAATATCATAGATGCCACCAAACACACAGTGGCCATAGTTGTCTTTTGGTTCATGATAACCACAAATATGTTCCAAAAACTTAATGAATAGACAAAAACATTGCTAGATTATTTGTTCTAAACACTCCTACCTTCCCACTACAACATCTTTTGATTTTCTCAAATGCCTTCCACCACAGGCCTCATTAATCTGATTACTTATTCACTACCAAGGGACTGGCAAGAAAGATACCACATGACAACTTTTTCAAAGAAAGCTCTCAGACCAATGGAACAGAACTGAGGCATTAGAAATAACACCACATATCTACGACCATCCGATCTTTGACAAACCTGACAAAAACAAGCAATGGGAAAAGGATTCCCTGTTTAATAAACAGTGTTGGGAAAACTGGCTAGACACAGGCAGAAAACTGAAACTGGACCCCTTCCTTACACCTTATACAAAAATTAACTCAAGATGAATATAAGACTTTAATGTAAGACCTAAAACCATAAAAATCCTAGAAGAAAACCTAGGCAATACCATTCAGGACATAGGCATGGGCGAAAGCTTCCTGACTAAAACACCAAAAGCAATGGCAACAAAAGCCAAAATTGACAAATGACCTAATTAACAAATGTCAAATGACCTAATTAAACTAAAGAGCTTCTGAACAGCAAAAGAAACTATCATCAGAGTGAACAGGCAAGCTACGGAATGGGAGAAATTTCTTGAACTCTATCCAACTGACAAAGGGCTAATATCCAGAATCTACAAAGAACTGAAACAAATTTACAAGAAAAAAAAAAAAGACATCAAAAAGTGGACAAAGGATATGAACAGACACTTCTCAAAAGAAGACATTTAAGCAGCCAACCTACATATGAAAAAAGATCGTCACTGATCATTAGAGAAATCCAAATTAAAACCACTATGAGATACCATCTCATGCCAGTTAGAATGGTTAGAATGGTGATCATGAAAAAGTCAGGAAACAACAGATGCTGGAGAGGATGTGGAGGAATAGGAATGATATAACACCGTTGGTGGGAGTGTAAATCAGTTCAATCATTGTGGAAGACAGTGTGGTGATTCTTCAAGGATCTAGAACCAGAAATACTATTTGACCCAGCAATCCCATTACTGGGTATATACCCTAAGGTTTATAAATCTTTCTGCTATAAAGACACATGCACATGCATGTTTATTGCAGCACTGTTCACAATAGCAAAGACTTGGAACCAACCCAAAAGCCCATCAGTGATAGACTAGAGAAAGAAAATGTGGCACATATTCACCAGGGAATATTATGCGGCCATGAAAAAGGTGAGTTCATGTCCTTTGCAGGGACATGGATGAAGCTAGAAACCATCATTCTCAGCAAACTAACACAAGAATAGAAAACAAAACACTGTGTGTTCTCACTCAGAAGTGGGAGTTGAATGTTGAGAACACATGGACACATGGAGGGGAACATCACACACTGGGGCCTGTCGGGGGATGAGGGGCTAGGGGAGGGATAGTATTAGGAGAAATGCCTAATGTAAACGATGGGTTGATGGGTGCAGGAAACCACCATGGCACGTGTATACCTATGTAGCAAACCTGCACATTCTGCACATGTATCTCAGAACTTAAAGTATAACAATAATAAAATAATATAAAATAAAAAAGAAAGACCTACTACAATTTCAAAGAACCCTCTTTTTTAAAAAAAAGAATCAGTAACCCTTTCAATTGAAGACTGCGATGTGGGTCTATTAAACTCTAGAATCCCCTGATCCTTCTGAATTCTGCATCATCCAGCTCACCTCATTTATGTTTCTGACCCTCACGCAGGTTCACATTCAGAATGCCACTCTTGCTGGAGGAGTTGCCGTGGGCACTTGCGCAGACATGACAATTCATCCGTTCGGTTCTATGGTCATTGGGAGCATTGCAGGAATAGTCTCTGTCTTTGGATACAAGTTCCTAACTGTAAGTACAGCAGATGTTCTGAGTCAAACTCTGAATCTGCACCATTGTTCTCTCATGTCCCTCCAGCAGAACAAAGCTATAAAGTTTTATTTTATGAACATTTTAATTTGGAGGCCACTTGCCTTCCTTTTGGAAATACCACTCCCATTTCAGCTGTCCAGTGGTTCTACTCTGCCCCGAACTTCTATGTAATAGGAAACAATCTGATTTCAATTATTTATAATTTAGTTTGAATTAAATGTTAAGTCCTTGGCATTACTTTCCCTTTGGGCTGTTCCACTGAAGTAGTTGTTGTTATTTGTCTTATGTAATTAAAAACTCTGCTCTTTTAAGAGATTTAGGATGTTGGCCAGATGTGGTAGCTCATAACTGTAATCCCAGCACCTTGGGAGGCTGAGGCAGGTGAATTACCTGAAGTCAGGAGTTTGAGACCAGTCTGGTCAACATGGTGAAACCCCTGGCTCTACTAAAAAAAAAAAAAAAAAGTACAAAAATTAGCCTGGCATGGTGACTGTAATCCCAGCTACTCAAGAGGCTGAGGCGGAAGAATTGTTTGAACTTAGGATGCAGAAGTCACAGAGAGCCAAGATGGTGCCATTGCACTCCAGACTGGGTGACAGAATGAGACTCCATCTCGAAAGAAAAGAAGAAAAAGAGAGAGAGAGAGAGAGATTTAGGCTATCATCACTAGGTGAGAAGGAGTAAGTCGTGAAATGATTCTCTTCAAACCAATCCACTGAAGACTGAAATGGACAGTTTTGCCACAAATATATTTTCAAATCCTTTAACTTAAATGGACTTCAGATACGGATGGAGAACTGAGTTACACATACAATTTTTTCTGGATGGAGAAGGAAATGGGGAGATGAAGGTCAGAGAATGCGAAGTAGCAGAAATGCAGGATGAACACATTTAGAGCTCTAATGTACAGCATGAAGACTATAGGCAGTAAAATTGTCCTGTATATAGGATTTATGCTAAATGAGTAGATTTTTAGCTGCTCTTACCACGAAAACAAAACAAAACAAAAAGGTAACTATGTAAGATGATGGAGACATTAATATTCTTCACTGTAGTGACCCTTTTACTTTCTATATGTATCTCATAACATCATGCTGTATACCTTAAATATACATAACAAAACTTATTTATAAAATAATTCTGCATGGAAGAATAGAGCTCAGCTATAGCTGTTTCTGTTCTAGAGTTCTATATGTTTAACGAAATAATAAGCCTCTTCCTTTTACAATTTTAGCCACTTTTTACTACTAAACTGAGGATCCATGATACATGTGGGGTCCATAACCTCCACGGCTTACCTGGCGTAATGGGAGGCCTTGCAGGCATTGTGGCGGTAGCAATGGGTGCATCCAACACGTGAGTAAAAAAAAAAGGGGGGGTTTTCCAGCCCCTGTGGTCCCAAGATGTTTTCTCTCACTCTGAGAAATTTAGGGGTAGGAGAGTTTTCATTTTAGCAGTTCTGGCCACGGTTTATATTATCTTCACTGGAGCCAAAGAGACGCAACTGAGAGAAGATAATTAAAATGAAATTATATTGAAAGAGGCACCTTAACTGAAATTGTTAGTTTAAAAAAATTATGTTATTTTAAATGTCTTTACCAGAAACAGCTGTCTCCTAGCAGATAAGGAAGTTTGATAATCACAGTCAGATTATAGTAGGCTTAGTCATTTTCTTGATCCCTCCAAAATGAAGAAGAGGCACATATGATGAGCTGAACAGTCATTTCCATCCAATCCACACAAAGAAGAATGAATTGGAATAATCTGAAAAGCGACTGGTTCTGCAGAATCAAAAACACTGGCATATGGTCCCAACTCTGCTACTCACTAGTTATGTGAACTCTGAGGTGTCACTCAGCCTTTCTGGTTTCCAGTCTTCTCTATAAAATGAGAGATTGGAGTATTTATTCTCCAAAATCCCTTCTAGCTCTATCAAACCTAGGTTTTTCCCTAAGTCAAGTATAAATGTTTACTTAAATAAGCAGAGGAAAAGCAAGTATCAAGCAAACTCAGGAGAATAAAAGGGATGCCACAAGATTGGAATGATTTGGTATGAATGTCATCCATGTGAAACAGCTAGGAAGATCACAGAGTTCAGACCACTCAGAGTACACAAAGATACATTAGAATGCTCAATTTTGTTTAAATTGATTGCACTTTAAGTTCTGGGATACGTGTGCAGAATGTGCAGGTTTGTTATATTGTTATACATGTGCCATGGTGGTTTGCTGGACCCAACAACCCATCATCTAGGTTTTAAGCCCTGCATGCATTAGGTATTTGTCCTAATGCTCTCTCTCCCCTTACACCCCACCATCGAACAGGCCTGGGTGTGTGATGTTCCCCTCCCTGTGTCCATGTGTTCTCATTGTTCAACTCCCACTTATGAGTGAGAACATGTGGTATTTGTTTTTTTGTTCCTGCATTTGTTTGCTGAGAATGATGGTTTCCAGCTTGTCCCTGCAAAGGACATGAACTCATCCTTTTTTATGGCTGCATAGTAGAATGCTCAACTTTTAAATCCAATTGAAAGCATGAAGAAAAGAGAAATGCATGTCTAGAAATGTCTGAATGACCACTAACTGGAGATGCATAATCTGAAAAGAAAAACCTCTCTTCAGTTTTAGCAGATTAAAATTTAACACTGTTGAGATCAATAAAAAATACTGAAAAACTCATTTAATCATTTCTTACTAAACAGAAACTTTGCTTCCTTCTTCACATGTACCGTTGACACATTTCTTCCATATGTTGTTTTTTTTTTAACGCTTTTTGAAAATTTAGAAGAAAACTCCAGAATATGCACATAGTTTTCAGTTCTCTCCAAACCCAAGACTGTAGAGACCAAACACTAACATATTTTAATGCAAATCAAGCATGATAAAAGCATGTGTGAATGAACTCAACTCCTCAGTGTTGGAGTGTGCAGACACTGTGCAAAAATACTGAGGTGCCTATGATTAGGAATTCTTAAGCCTCACGCATAGACCAGTTTCACAGATGCAATAAAACAAGTCTATCTGGCTCTCAAAGAGCAGGCCTGGCTGGGTGCTCAGACGTTGGGTGAGTCTCATGATTGAAGGTCTAGTCCTTGGAAATGCTGGTTTAGAAACATCTTCTCAATTTATTCATTGGTGGAGAAAGGAGGTAGAGAAATATCAGAGGAGGGGAAGGAGGGCAAGCCTTGAAGGTTTGTTCACTTGGGTAAAATTTACATATTTCACACCAAATAAATTACCCACCTGAGAGCCAAAACGACTTACATGTGTCTATTCAGAATATTAAAATGCAAATCAGGTTTTTGGTAAGCATAGAACAAGGGAAAGTTAATATTCTTAAGGGACATTTTTGCAAATTATGGCAACATAACTCTAGGAATACTGTTAATTTTGTATAAGTCAGTGTTTTCCAAGTTTATTTGATCACAGAACACTTGCTATCAAAAGTATCTTTTAAGACCTTATGAAAGATCTTGGCAAATTCCTGTAAAACTAACAGGAAATTTACAAAAGAAGAAAAATCAAATAAATAAGTATATATAAAATACTCAACCTCACTTATAATCAAAGAAATGCAAATTAAAACAAGCTACCAGTTTTTCACTTATCAAAGTGATGAAGCATGAATGAATAATAATAATACTGAATAGTGGCTAAAGTAAAAACTTGGAATGTAAATTGTACAATTTTCTATTTGGAAAAGTTCGTAAGCACTATATAGGCTGGGCACAGTGGCTCAAGCCTGTAATCCTACCACTTAGGGAGGCTGAGGCAGGTGATTCACCTGAGGTCAAGAGTTCAAGACTAGCCTGGACAAAATGGTGAAACCTCATCTCTATTAAAAATACAAAAATTAGCAGGGCATGGTGGTGGGCGCCTATAATCCCAGCTACTTGGGAGGCTGAGGCAGAAGAATCACTTGAACCCAGGGCTTGGAGGTTGCTGTGGGCTGAGATCGGGCCACTTCACTCCAGCCTGGGTGAAAGAGCGAATCTCCATCTAAAAAAAAAAAACAAGTATATGTAGACTTTTACTAATATTCTCGTTTCTTGATAGGTTTTATATTAGGAAAATAATCAGACAAATTTATAAGCATGTTCAGAGGAGATGTTCTCACAGCATTTTTAAAAATATGAAACACTGGAAGCAACCAGTACGTTGCACAGTGTAACACCCTGCAGCAATTCAAACTGTGGTTCAGATCTACAGTGACTCACAAAAATGGACCCCTAAAACATATTTATTAGGAAAATAAGTAATATAGCATGATTGCATTTTTATAAAAATACATGTTTTTATTTTACATTTTTATTTTGATACTGTCTGGGGGATATTAAACTTTTCTGCTCTGTTTTGTTATTTGCAGTTTCTAATGTTTCCACAATGTTACTTGCACAACTTTTTATATATATTAGAAAATGTAAACCCTTCAAATACGGAGAAAAAAAAAAGAAATCTGAGTTTAGTGCATCCTCTCCCTTGGATGATTAAGCTGGAAAACCAAAAGAACTCTCATTTTCCAATTTTTTTTTTTTTTTTTTTTTTTTTTTTTTTTTTTTTTTTTTTTTTTTTTGAGACAGTTTCACTCTTGCTGCCGGGGCTGAAGTGAAATGGCGCGATTTCGGATCACTGCAAACTCTGCCTCCCAGGCTCAAGGGATTCTCCTGCCTCAGCCTCCCGAGTAGCTGGGAGTAGCTGGAACTACAGGCACGTGCCCCACGACCGGCTAATTTTTTGTATTTTTAGTAGAGACGGGGTTTCACCGTGTTAGCCAGGATGGTCTCAACCTCCTGACCTCAGGTGATTCACCAGCCTCGACCTCTCAAAGTGCTGGGATTACAGGTTTGAGTCACAGCGCCCGGCCAATAGATTTTTCGAATTTCATCACAACTACTTCATTATAATGAGATGAGAAGAGATAGTAGCTCATGTTGTTTCATTCATTATTCTATCCTCAGTGCCTAGAAAAGAAGCTGACACAAAGTGGATACTCAATAGCTATTAAATGAGTCAGATCAGGATCAATTTTTTGAGACTACTAAATTCTTTCTAAGGAAAATCTTATTTTTAAAATTTACATTAAAAGATGATTCGCTTTTTTAGGTGTATCTCAGAATTTTCTAACACTGCTCAAGAGTTCCAAAGAAAACAAGAATATGAAAGAAAAATTGTAACAAATGCTTAATTTGCTAGTGTGTAATGTTACATTCTGGCCTCAAGATGGCAGTTATCCACACCCTCTGTGTGTAAGATATTTTTGGCTGAGGTCCAGGAAAAACACTGAATCTTTTTCATTTGCTTCCTTAGGTCCACTATGGCCATGCAGGCGGCTGCACTGGGTTCTTCTATCGGAACAGCAGTTGTTGGAGGTCTGATTACAGGTCAGCATAAAAAGTGAACACTTCCCTGTATATTATGCTCTTAGATCATTTACAATAGATAACAAGCAAGTCAATTGCTAAATTCAAAAATGTTTTAAACTTCTGGCAGTAATTACGTCAGCTAAAGGGTATTATTTTATAATAGACTATTAACTACTATGCTAGTGGAGTTTCCTCTTCAGCATCGTGACATGACTCATTTTCTCTCTACCATCACAGGTTTAATCCTAAAGTTGCCTTTCTTGGGACAACCATCTGACCAGAACTGCTACGATGATTCCGTTTATTGGGAGGTACTGTAGAGTATTCTAAACAAGAATTTGAACGATGACTACATTACTGAAAGCTTTACTCACTTCAAGCCTATATATCTCTGTGGCATATGTGTGATAAAATTGAATTAGCTAGGTATGGTAGCTCACACATGTAATCCCAGCATTTTGGGCAGCTGAGGCTGGAGGATTGTTTGATGCCAGGAGTTTGGGACCAGCCTGGGAAACTCTCTACAAAAATAATAAATAATAAATTTAAAATTTTTTCCTTCAATAAGATGTCAAGTGTAAAAGAAAAGTAAATAAATGAAAAGAAACTGGATGAACTACCTATTTACAGAGAGAAATTGAGATGATGTACACTGCCAGATAAAATCAGAAGTTATGGTATTTTCTAAAGCAGAAGTTAGATAAAGACAAGACAGAATTTAGTTAGCAGGTTTTGTCTGACTCCTCTGAAAGCCATAAAAAAGCTATTCATAAAAATAATATGAATTCTGGGAAACTGTGAGATTTTATGTCCACAGGTTTATTTGGTGGTTAAAAAAAAAAAAAAGCAATAAAACAAAAGAAATCAAACTTAATTTTAAAATACACCAAAGGTAAAAGTGGTCAAAAGCAAGTGAAATACATAAGGTGAAAGAATTGGAGTAAGTACGCATCAAGATGAACTACGAATAACAAAACATCAGCCTCTTTCTATCCTCCAGTTTCTCTTTACTCTAGTACTTTTTCCCAAATAATTTCCTGCAAAACTTGAGAGGGATAGATGTTTGGGTGTTTTCAGCAAAATTTCAGAGAGAATGAGTTTGGAAAAGCGGGAATGTAGTCAGGGTGGTTGAAAGAAATATTTTATTCTTTTATTTTTCTTCAACTCAAACAATTTTTATTCCCAGTTTTTTTCAAGCTTGAATAATAATTAACAAAAATGTTTTTATTTCAATACTAACTTATAACAAGCCCACTGAAATAACTGTTTTATTCATTACTCTATCCTCAGTGCCCAGAAAAGGAGCTGACACAAAGTGGATACTCAATATTTATTAAATGAGTCAGATCAGGATCAATTTTTTGAGAGTACTAAGCCCTTTCTCAGAAAAGTCTTATTTTTAAAATTTACATTAAAAGATGATTAATGTGCCCCCAAACTTGTTTTCTTTAGGTCCCGAGGTTGAGAGAACATGACAATCACTTCTACGGACATGGTGACCACAGCCCACTGGAACCTGAAGTCTAAACACCATTCCTGCTCTCCAACTTTCTTTCCCATTATCTAGAATCAAGTTCAAATAAACAAAAAGGCAGTAACCAACGAGAGTATGGACCAGAGTGAAAAGATCCTAAGTCCCAAATGGCCAGTGTAAAAATGTCCTTATGTCTAATGCTGTCTCTTGCTATTCAATGATTAGTTGAGGGCATGTGACTCATAAAACAGATAATCAAATAGAGCCTCTCCAGGATTCCCAGAATGCTTTTGGCAGTGAGTAAATACAGACTAAACATATCAGTTTCTTGATGTAGACACTATGTCTTCAAGCCTCAAAATTATAAAACTGAAACCCACAAAACAAGAATAGATGTAAGAAATCTATGTAAAAAACAAATTAAAGAAATGAATGTGTGTAAAGTAGTAATATGATTATTTTAGGTGGTGCTTTTTATTTTAAAAATGGTCTAGTTAGTAATGTATTTTTGCTTGAATATTATTAATTCCTTTTGCACATTTACTATTTGCAACAAGCTCAAATATTATCTGATCAAAGTCTTTTTTGTATAAAATGTTCAATAATTAAATATTGTTATAAAATAAAACATTAGTCTTTGACTCTCCTTTGGTAGTTAGAATTCATTTCAGTAACAAGCACATGCACACACACACACACACACACACTCCTTCATATTTAGTCCACATTCAATTTAAATATATTATTTATCATGTTTTTGCTATTTAAAAATATCAAGTTAATGTCTCATTATAGAATGTTATAAAAGGTTAAATTTTACAAAAGGTAACTGGCATAGTCAAAAATCATCTTTAAGAAAGTCAAACAACTTATTTTTTCTATCTGGAAGCTTTTAAGATTTTTATTCTAGCCCTGGAGTCCTGAAATCTTGCCAAGATGTGTCCAGTTACCAACAAGGAAATCAGCCCTGCCATAATTCACAGAACGTCAGCTTTTTAATGAACTTAAGAATTATAACTGAGTGGATTATTTAATATTTTATTCCTTAAAAATTATATAATCTATATTTTATTCATGTATCTTAGTTGACATAATTGACTCCCTTCAGAACTTCTTTGAAGAAGGTTTTCTGGAGTGTGCTCACTTACAAAGTCCACTGTCCTCTCCCTTATGATCCTTGCAAAGAATCCTTTTCATTACTGGGGTGTATGAGACCTCCTCGCCACTATGCTGATCATAAAGCAAATCTTGGAGGGTTTGGGATATACTCAGGAATATAAGAAAGTCTATCACTTTGACGTGCTAAGGAACTGGGTCATGCTCATCATCATTCCCTTGCTTATAAACACTCTCTCCTGCCTTCCTGCAAGGCAGTTCTTATAAGTAAAAAAGCCTTATTTTTCAAATTCTGAGTTAGTGGTCTTCTCTTCACAGTAGAATAACACCTTTTTAATCTATTTTGCCTAGAATTTAGTGAAGCATTTTAATTTTAATACTTGAGTCTTCTGTTCAGATAAATTTCTTTCTATTTAGTAACTTTCTCTTCTTCGACCGTTAATTTTTTTTTTTTTTCCGGCACTCTTGTTACTCATATAGAAAGTCTGCTTAGTCTCTTATCCAAATCTATTTTCTTCCCAATCTTTATTTTATAGGTTCCATTCATCCATTTTTTTCAATTTATTTTTGTTTGTTTGTTTGTAAATCATGGTCCATATTTGTAAGTCCAGCAAATCTGTGTGTATGTGTGTGTGTGCATGTGTATGTGTTATGCTTGAATTTCCTTTTACAATTTTGTTTATTGAAGAGGGGCAATATTTTGATTAAAGTTCAAGTTCAAAATCTGTCTGCAAAACTTAAATAACATTATCCTTTATCTGTTAAAAACATTTAGGATGTTCACTAATACTCTATGATAATTGGTTGATTTGATTAGAAATCTCAAGCTGTACTTAGATGATCAATTCCAGGAAGTTGTTATTCTTTGTTCTTATCTAAATCTGAAAGAATGACTCATAATTACTAACTGCAATTTCAGACAGTTTGCTGAAAGCTGAAATATTCAGGCTTCCCCAACCCTTGTTTCTATAGACTGTAACCTGTTTCTTGCACAAGACAAGAGAACTCTGCTGAAGAGGGATGTGGGAGGACTTTTCCAATAGCTGCATTTTGTTAGAAGCCATTTACTTTGTGTGTTTTCTTGATTCTCTTCACTTTGAGTGCTGGAACCTCATTAGGTGAATTGTCCTTTTTCTTTTTGTCTATTCCCTGAGGGTTAAATTCCAGCTGCTGTGATAACCTTGGATGACAAAAATCTTAAAAATGAAGGGAGGGACAGTAATCTCTGGCTGAATTTATTAAAGTTTTGCCAGATGCCAAAAATAGAACTCCCCTGGATTGGCACCTAAATGAAATCACTTTGTTCATTAGTTTTTTCAGCTGCCAAAGTTTGGTGTTAAACTAGAATCGGGGCCAAAAGAAGCTCAATGTATCTGCTAAGCCCTCCTGCAACTTATGAGAGACCAAAAAGGCCCACTGTCATTTCAGGAATACTCAGTTCAGAAGCTACATCATCATCCATGGGAATCCACAAATCTCTGCAAACCAGTAGTACCCAGATCCTTACCCCATGACTCTCTTAGAACTGCCTCCAGACTTGCCTCCAACAGAGAGGAGGGAAGTTCTCTGTCGATTTCATCATTGGTGTCTTCCCAGAATCTAGTTTTACATTCTTCAGGCCGGGTAAATGCCTGAAGACAAAAGTATAAATCTCTTAAGAGCAGACACAATTCATTTCTTTGTCTGTAACCTCCACATTTTCAATAGAGCACATGTTTTAGGGAAGCTTATTTAGTGGAGGAACAGATAAATAATTGAATGACTTGAAAAAAAAAAAAGAAAATCAACCTCAAAGAAGCAAAGAGAGCTTTTAAAAAATTTACCTAGTTACTCATTTATTCAGTAATAATTCATCAAGCAATGGTTAAGTTCAACTCAATAAATACAAAGTCATATAAGATAAAGCCCTTGGTCACAAAAAAAAAAAAAAATCTGCAGCTTAACCTGGAATACAGCTGGTAGGTCAGTGACATACTAAAGTGTCTGTACTAACAGGTTCTATTATGGTGGCATACACAGGATGCTGTACATAGGAGGAGACAAGAACATAAATCAATTTCAGCCACTCAAGGAAAACTTGCCAGAAAAATGTTAAAAATGACATAAAGCAACATACAGCTAAGCAAAGAATGGATTAAGAACCAGTTCTACTGAAAATAAAACTGATACTCTTTTCCCTGGAGACCACCTTGCTTATTAAATGAAAGACCTGGATGTCTGCTCAATGAATTTCTTCTTCTCTTTTTGAAGATAGAAGTTATTTGTGTAAGTGTGAGTGCTAACATGAGGCAGGTCAGTTGGGGTGATTAGCAAATGGAAGGGGTTAACAAACACATGAAATATCGAATCTCTCCACTCTTCACCTTACTTCCTGAACCATCTACCTCTATCCCTGTCCACCTCCAGACCTAGGTTCCCTTCTATTTCAGGAGTATAAAACCTAGTCTTTTCTACCCAATGATTTTGGCTTTTATCCTGGCCTTATTTTGGTGGGTGTTCATTGAAAATCTCACAGAATAGTACCTATTCCAGCTTCATCCAACATAAATGAAAGCAGTTATAGTACACCCTGGCTTTGTTAACCAGACAGAGACTCCCAAGAATTAATTTGATAGAAAGTATAATTCCATCAGGCAGGGCACAGTGGCCTAAAAATATAAAAATTAGCCAGGTGTGGTGGCATGCACCTGTAATCCCAGCTACTTAGGAGGCTGAGGCAGGAGAATCACTTGAACCTGGGAGGCAGATGTTGCAGTGAGCCGAGATCATGCCATTGCATTCCAGCCTGGGCAACAGAGCAAGACTCCATCTCAAAAAAAAAAAAAAAAAAAAAATTTGTATGTAATTTCAACAGATCTTCTTTTGGACAAAGTCCTTCTCCCTTCTTTTGGCACCCATTAGTATGGCAGGCCTTGAGTTTAATCCCTGCTTAATCTTTTACTATTTAAGTATCTTTAGACAAAATACTTTCTCTCTGAGCTTCTTTATTCAGTTATAAAAATAGTTTCTATGGCTAGGCTCAAGTGAGAAGGGGACTGATAAGAGAGCAGGAGAAGGTAAGAGAAAAAACTTATGCTTCTGAGGCCTCCATTTCAGGGTATTGTATTCTGATTTTCAACAACTATCAAGTACAAAGAAAACATAAATGCTAAATAAAACCTTCGTATTTATTCTAAGCTATACAAGTTCCCAATAGTGCTACAATTCAATATTTTATCATTGTGAGTGATAAAGTCATTGTCTTCTAGAATCTAGGAAGAAAAGAGCCTTCTCAAATAGTTTTCATTTTGAATAGCACCACTGACAACCATATTACTTCACTTTGTAGTAATTAGGCTCTGTTACTATAAATACAGACTTACTCTAAATACAGGTGCTTGGGAACACTGAAACAGACAATTATGCTGTCTAATTTTAGACAGGATATTTCCTGTCTGGTTTATTAAGTCATTTTGAGGGTCATGAACCACTTTGATAGCAATGACTAAATATGACTAAGTACACAGGCCCCAGTTCCCCAAAATTGAATATATTAACAAACACAAAATTTAGCAAACAATAAAGTCTTTCCTGAACTTTTAAAGAATCAGTGAATATTCGTTTAAGCGGTGCTGCTCTATAGGACCTATGACCAGTAAGTCTATTATAAATTTTTAAATGTTTGTGATCTTACAGAAAACATTAGTGGTAAGATCATGGTGTTACGTAGAACTAAAATAGTTCGATTGTCCACCTGCAATCACCCAGGATATTATAAGAAAAACACTTGGGTTTATAGCTCTGAACATAAAGCCAGTATCATTTTCATGTCCTCATGTCCTCATAACCTCAAATTAGAGCTATTGTCACAGGAATAACATACAAAATACTCTGGATACCTAGAACTTATTGTAAACCATATCAATATTCATTGGAAGTTAGTTAATTCCAAAAATTGAGGAAGTAGCATCTAGTTCAGACTTTCACTGTTACTAGGTTGGTGCAAAAGTAACTGCGGTTTTGTGACAACCTAATAGTTGAGGTAAAATTCAAGGTGCTATTTCTATAATGTTTTCAGAAATAATGAATGCTCTTTGTATTGTCACAAGTTGTACATATGTATATTTAATTACTTTTTTAAATTATTATTTTAGCTTTTCAATATGTTTCCTGTTTTGGGGTTCCTCCTAAAAAGTCATAAGACAATACTCAGAAATAGAGATGAACTGTTTTCTTTTATAAGGTTGGTCTTTCTAGATCACCGTCATAAACTTGACAAAAATGATCCAAGAAGTTTCACTTATGCCTTTTTGGTCAGACAGGAGGAGGTAATTTTTTTTTTTTTAGAGTTTT